TTGGTTTTTAGTGGCTTTCTTTAGCCGCTTAAACGCTGACAAAGCTGTGGAGATGATGTCCAGAACAAACCACATATTTGATTAACACCCGTAAAACAGGGGTGTCATTTGTGACGAAAATAAACCACACCCTCTTAAGAAAGTTGTCAGTCTGGAAAAGTGTTTTTCAGAAGCTAAGTGAAACCTTTAAGCACAAAGCTGGTGAACTGAAGCCCCTAAGAGACTGCTACCTGCTTTAAAATTTATCTTCTAGGGGTGGAAAATGAGGAGAGTGAGGCAATGGGATGCTTAATCCGCCACCTTGGTCAGGCAATGGATAACTTTGTTTTACTTTGAGAGCCTCTGGAAGCTTTGCAAACAAGTGTAACCACCACTGATTCACCAGTCCAGGGCCATCTAGGTACAAACCAAGGTCTCACCATAACAGGAGCTGCAGCTCTAGGTAGGGGGTTTCGGCAGTTCCCCTCTGATCGTCCTACCATGCTTTCAGACGTCGTATCCCATGTCCCGCTCATCAGGCAGCATCTGTAGATGCCACGTCCATCCAAGGCAAGCAATTGCCTAGATCGTTGTTTCTGCTCGACTCTCCTGAAAGGTGGCTACAGCTCCAGGGCCAGAGTTGTCCCCTTGTCTTCTTGTGCCTTGATGGAGAGAATCAAAATGGTCCAGATTACATCTACCCACAAGTTCAAAGTTTGCCATCCCTCCCTGCCCCAATCCCAGTTTTTTTTTCAGTTTCAGGTTCCTATTTTATTTCCAAACACGGCCACAGCAACCTTCCATAGAGCATCTGTGTCACCCCTTATGGCAACAGCAGTAACTCAGAGCCTGACGGTACGTACACAGCCTCAGATTAGACGGGGCAATTGCTCTCTGATGCCATGCACTAACATCAGCCTAACTTGGCTACAATTATTTCCACAGAAAAGTCCTGTTCTACATTTTCTGTACTCGGTCAGCTCCGGTTTGCAGCATCTTCCAGAGTTCTTTGTCCTAAGATGCTCCAGCAAAAGTTTATTGCTCTTTTGGTATTCTCCATCACATCTGTTGCAGGAGAACCTGCCATCTCTCAGGAGGCATTGTGAGGGGCACTGGAGAAGCAGCAGCAGTCAAATGAGTTTGTGAGCCCTCAAGGCAAAGCTAGCTGGCCTCGCCATGACCCAAATCATTGCCTTGTAGCGGTCAGCCCTCCAGTTGTGCAAGGAAACAGGTCAAATTAGTACATCCAGGCTTGTGAGCTGCACGTTTACATGAGTTTGAGCAAAAACCACAAATCAGAGCTAAGCCTGGGCTATAGCCACCCATTGAGCTCTGTTATACATTTTAATGCACAAAGAGGGGGATGCAAAGTGCTCACTAAAAGCCACTGCCTCCAGTTGTAGATTATTTTTGTATCGTTCTAGGGGTTTGATACTTATTGGGAGTGGTTTTGTTATATCCTCCAACTATTATGGCTAAAAGTAAGGTGGGGGCTGTAGAGAGCGATAGTATCTTTTATCACACACATTGAGGCAGCTGAGCAGACCTTTCTGAGCACCCAAATCCTTCCTCAGACTCTTTTGCAATATTAGAAAATACTAGAAAGTGGGAAACGACTCTAATGCTTTGTTAGTGCCCGGCACCACTATAGCACAAATGCGGCTGTAGGGACTTTGTACAAGTAAAAGCCTGGAAAGGAAAACAAATATCGCTATTTCTGGGAACGCTGGAGCTACAAAACTTTGTTCTCACTAAACTTGTGCTACTTCCTACTTCTTGTGGTTTGTTCTCATGCTGTTTTTAACCTCTTCTCAAACCAATATAGTATTTCTGTTTCACTTCCAAAACAAATCAAGGAAAAAACACATGTTCTTATTTTAACTTATTACAAAAGCACCATAGCACTTCTAAACAAAAAGTAGCATCCATTTTCCAGTTAAAAATAACAAATCAGTCAGGTTTGGGGAAATTTTCAGCTAAATTGGAGAATATAAAGAAGAGAGTAGATATTTTTAAATAGCTACTTAAGTGGCACTTCTTTTTGTTCTAACCCTTTATATCCGATTTTCATTCCATCCACAGTGAGGGTCTACTCCTGCAGGCACCATGCACGCTCCAAAGACTCTTCACGCTCCGTCCTGGCTAGGGCTGGCATGCCTTTAAAGCATGACCTGCAGCAGTCCTTTAATTCCTGGGGTACAGAGAGCTTGCAGGAGACATTAGAACTTGCTAGATGTCAGAACATACACGGTAGTCTAGGACTAGCTCCTACCATCATGGTAACCACTGAATAACTCCTACGGTTTGATCTAAAAGCAACACGACCAAGTGAACATGAATTGGAGCTTTCCATTCCCAGCTGCAACATATGAGTCCTTGTGCATCTTCTTTTCCACCATAGGACACATCCAACCTTCACTGATACGGCAGAGGGAGGTAACTTGCATTCTTTTTCCTTCTTGTGACCACCCTACTCAGCAGATACTAATGAGAGAAGAGCTGAAGACTGATAAAAGGAAAGGAACTCCCAGAGGTTTAACTATAGAGGGAAGAATGCTTTAAGTCACCTGTCAGGGTAAAGAGAGACAACCACAACAGAAAAATCTCACTTTTGGCACTGGATCAGTGATGCTCTACCCAGTTCTGGTATCCAAAAAGGCACTCACTTCCTCCACGTACCCCAAAGGAGGCGTTTATATCACAGGCTTTGCTTTTACTGCTTATTTCTAACAAAACTTTGCCATTTCCTGACCAGAAAAGCTGTGCTTTTATTTCTGTGCTACAAGCTTTGAAAGTCTAGATACTGCTGGTTTCCACTATAAATAGCCCAGGCTCACTATGACATCTCGCTATGACATTTAGTTCAAACAAATTAAAAATTCTGACAGGAAATAAACAAACAAAAAAGATATAAAGAATTAAGAAAAAAAAAAACACACACACACAGAAGAAAAAGATAATGAGTTCTTGTATCTCTAGGGGGAACTCATTTCTGGATAAATTTGTAACCTTGACAGCACAAAGTCCTGTCTTCTGATCTTGGGTACACATGGACACCCTAGAGAAACTACTTGATCTTAACTGGAGCAGGTAGATCTCCATATGACAGAGGAGAGCAAAACCTTATTTCTTACCTCTCTCAGTATTATTTCATGCTATTTTCTGGTATCATTTTCACGCTTCCAAAAGCCCAAGGCTCACAACCTTCCAAGCTGCCTTTACAATGGCTATATCTGTTAGCACTCCAGCTACTTCCCAGGGCCCTGAAGGAAGCAGATTTTACATCATATGCAGTCAAAACCCTTCCATCAACAGGGCCTCAAGCCCAAAGCCTCATGATAAATGTCATGCCTTTTATTGAAAACTCAGAACAGAAGTGACTTCTCCGAGTATTTCAAACCACTGGTTTTGCACTCGGGTGTCTGGGAATACGGAGAGGCTACAGGACACAAAAGAGGCTCAGAAAAGGCAAAGACTGGCAGCCTACAGACCAGATCTAGCCTACTGAAGCCACAGGATGCAGATGAAGGACCACTGAGCGCAACTCCTATTTTACTCTTCTTCATCTCCCTCCCAGAAGAGAAAAATCAGCAAGCAGCACTGATTTAGGACCACAAAGATGATTAAGGGACTGGAGCATCTGTCGTACAAGGAGAAGCTGAGAGAGCTGGGATTGTTTAGCCTGGAGAAGGCTCAAGGAGATATTATCAACATGTATTAATATCTGATGGGAGAGAATAAATCAGACTAAATCAGTCTCTTCTCAGTAGTATCCACTGAAAGGAAAAGAAGTAACACAGAATTGAAATGCAGAAAAAATTCCACTTTGGTGTTTTTTTTTTTTTTTTTTCTAAAACTCAGAGGATGAAACATTTGAACAGGTTTGCCCAGTCTCTGTCCTTGGAGACAGTCAAAACCCAACTGAATAGAGCCACCTGCTCCAGCTTGATCCTGCTTTGAGCAGGGAGGTTGGACCAGACCATCTCCACAGGTGCCTCCAACCTCAGCGCGTTGGCGTTTCTACGAGCCTACAAAAAACCCTTCAAACTGCCCTGCTACGTTCACAGAGAAAAGGTCTCAGACACTGAGAAGTTTCTTCCAAAAAAGGGATGCAAGTATTCCCGCTCTCTGTGGAAATTATGCACGCTTAAGGCAGCTTTTTCTTTTGCAAGAAAAGCAGGAGTGAGTATAGCAGATTCTAGGTCTGGACTAAACTTGTGGGTAACGTAGCTACCTAGGAACAAACCGTGGCAAAGTCAGAGAGTTAGAGACCTGAAACAAACACCAAGCAACAGCGGTTTTGCACATTGGTTTGTTTTGCTTTTGAAAAAGGCTGTAGTATCGCATAGTTATTTGGCAGTTAAGGATCAATTAGTCTGCAGGAATAGTCTGGTCTAACCGAACATCCTGCTCAAAGGCTTTACACTTAGGGAGCCAGAGTCCGTGCCCGTGGTGACAATTACAGCCTCATTGTCATCTCCAGAGAGAACCAGCCTGTGAGGCACTACGTATATATGTATTAAAACAAACAAACAAAAACAAAACAAAATAAAGAAAAAAAAAACAAGCCCCACAGAGGCTGGAGATCCCTTCTGAGATAAGATGCTTTGAAGGCCTATTAGAGATTGATGTGAAGAAACTCCTGAAGTTCTGGAGTCCTGGAGCTTCTGGGACCCTCCTGGCAGATCGCTGCAAAAGGTACAATAAAAGACACAATAATTCCTAAGCCATTCCTACCGTTTGCTGTAACAAGCAATACCCTAGACAGGCTCGCACACTACGGATTTTTAAAGTTTTGGCAAAAAGTCCGTCATGGGAAATTCATGCCATCTATTAATTTGGGCATTCAGTTTACTTACCCTCTTTGGAGTCAAAGCACCATACACAGTCCATAAGAGACTGGCCAATTACCCTCTGAAGGGTTCGCTGACAACCCAAGAGGCCGAAGGTCTTAATTACCCACACCAGTAAGGTTGTATGACTATCTTTATTCATGACAAAATACACTTAATAAAGGGGGGTATGATGGGAGCGATCCCAGAAAATTTCCAAACTGCTCAGAGTTTACTGAAAAATGGAAAGCTGAGAAAAACATCAAGATATTCTCATTAAAAAAAAAAAAAATCGTTTTTCAAAGGTGGCCAAGTGTTGTGCAAAAACAAAATCACATGAAATTCTGAGTAGAAAACAAAGCTGATCTGGAGTAGTATTTATTGGACAATTCTAACTGTCTCAGACTTTAAAAACGATTCAAGACCAAGCTAGTACTCTTCAGTCTCCAATGCTTAAAAAACCTCTAAGCATCCTCCCCACCTCAAATGATGCAGACTCTCCTCTCTGCAAATGATTTGTTGAGAAATCAACAAGTTCCCAAGGCACTCATTAGCCTATTTACAACCCTTTGGCAACTTCTCAGCTTGGTACAACGATACTAAAAAAAAAAAAACAACAACAAAAAATGCCCAACAACAAAAAAACCCATCCAATCACCAATTATTTTCACTTGCCAGTCATACCTCTCTAGCTGCCTCTAGGTATCATCAAATACTGGCTCTCTTCCATAGTTTAAAACTTGAAGATACTAATGCAAATGTCTAGTTTCATTGCCACCATATGATATGATGCAACATCACCGGATCTCACCCTGCAAGTCCCTGGCCTTGTTGGAGAGAAAAGACTCCAAACGACTTGAGATACTTTCCTGGGTAATCCTAGCTAAGTATCGTCCATCTTACTATTTTTTTTTTTTTCAAGTTTCAACGTCTGTATCTGCCTACCAAACTAAAGAGCCATTAAGAACATCTTAAGGCACTTCTTACCTGCCAAATACAGTCAAACAGCAATAAACAGACTTTCGCCAATACAGGTAAATCTCTAACAGGGTATTTCTAGTTCATGATCATCGATCATGATGATAATTTCCACTGGACAGAACACTGCCAAGCTGAAACTGTCGGCATTTGCAGTGTAGCTGTGGGGAACGCATAACCACCTTTATCAACTACGGAATACTACTTGTACTTCAGAAATTGTTTATACCCGAGAGGAAAAAAAAAAAAGCATATGGTCACAAGTTTTCCTTTTTTTTTTTTTAAAAGGTCTTAGGTTTTTTTCAAATCTCATCTATTCAGTCAGGCATTCTGTTCAAAAGGCCTTCCACATGCAAGATGAAAAATCTTAAATTCAAGTAGCTTCCTCTGTTTTTGTATTTTGCCCTGAAACTTCAAAAGTTCGTTTTACAAGTGGGAGAACGAGACAGGCTGAAAATACTTTCACCCTGATTTTTAAATGGTTAAAACTTTCCAGAAGTAGCACTCTGAGATTGTAAGCATCCTTAAGGGTACATATGTTCTCCCTTGTCTCAGGACTTCCTCCAAATGTTTCACTTTCTTAACGTTTCTTGAAAATTCACATATGTACTACTGCTGCACCACAACACATCTGTTGAAATGCTGAACTCAAAGCAACTCTTCAATGCTGTTTTACTTACTCTCCAGTTCATCTGCAGCTTCCTACTAAGTTTTAAGTCCGTAACTCACTAATTCCTACTATTGCAGATTATTATTAACATAACTCATCTTTACTCTGTTCCAGGAAGGGAGAGGGTAAGTTCATCTCAGGAAGGAAGGTGCAGCTTAATAGGGGAAAACAGCATATCGACAGAGGTTAACTGATGTGCAAATGCTGTCTTACACAGTGATGCTTTATTTTAGTGGTTCAGTGTTATTTAAAAGGATGCGAGGAGTGGATGCATGGCTGAGAAAGGGATGAAGTACACACCCCAATGTGCAGATATGAAAAATGTGTACCTCTGCAGGACAGACTAAAGAATAGGCAGTGGTGCCAGGAGTCCAAGAGAAGGGATGGGGGGGAGGCCCAATACTCTGAGTACCCACGTATCTTGTTACAACTGTTCTCAAAAATCAAGTAACTAGGAAAACAATTTACATCTTGACCCTAAAGTTTAGTAATGTGGAATATACAAGATGAGCTCAAGTTATTTATATGGTGAAATGCTGGAACAGACAAATAAAATGATCTGAAACAATTCAGCTGATTTGTGAAAGCACTCAGAGAGGAGTTTCAAGTTAACCAGAATATATCAACTGCAACAGTCCTCTTTCTAGATTTCATACATGACCTCTAGAGTCCCCGGCATGTGCCTCAATTTGTCAACTTGCAAAATGAGCACCCCTCAAAAAATGAAGGCTTTAGCGCTGCTATAAGAGATGTGTGGTCTTCAAGGAACTGCCAAATATTTCACTGTCGATTTGGTCATAGGTTTGCTGGGAAGTCATCATTAAGGTTGCAAACAAAATTCTTACATAAAACATTGGAACAAATTGGACCAGGACTTAACAATATACATAATGCAATATGAGTGCTGAAGTCATCATACGTGATTTGTTTTTACTATCCCTTTTCGGCTGGTGAAAGGCAGGCCCCTTGCATGTGCAAATCTAAACCTGAAACCATAATTTATGGCAAAGTTCTCAGGCAAAGGTGCTTAAGAAAAATCTCACTCTGCTTTGTTGTCTCATGGCCTTTTAGTGCTGGCTACGACAGGGACACTTAGATAATAGGTGACAGTGAAAATCTGATATAAACCAGAGGGATGGCATGTCATCTGCTCAGGACTTCACATGACTTTCTGTACAGACTGTGCCCAGGCTGGCATCTGCAAAGTGTAATAGGCTGCTTCGTCAATCCCACTAGAAAGAAAATCTGTATTAAATAACTTGTTGTCATTCTGTAATCATGGAACTTGGATTATAACCTAGTTACTGTTGTTGGTCATGGTTATTTTGCTAGAACAAGAACAACAGCTCTCAAATAACTATCAAAAACCAGACCTGCTTAGAATGGCATACGGTTAGGCTTATCTTTTAAATAGAGAAAGACATAAGGTATGTTTCACTTCATACATTTTCTCTTCCATCCTGAACATGAAGTCCAGCAGAAACCAAACCAATACCTATTCAAATATTGTTCCGACATAAAGTAAAAATAAATAGTTTCCTATCCAAATATTCCAGCATTTCCACATTAAATTTGGCAGAGCGCTTCTCGAGCATAATAAACTGCTAAGATTTCAAAACTAATGCTGATGGAAAAGAAAACAGAAGAAAAAAAGGGTATGAAAAAGTCATAGGGACTTCATTTATAAAATAACCGAGGTTAGTGGAAAGAGCAACAGCACCATCTAGAGGATACTGCATGTTCTTACATAGGTGGATATTCAGGACAAGTAAGATTAATTTTTTTTAGGTTTTGTATTTTTAGTTTTGAGAGTTACTCTAGCTGGAATTCAATCTTAACTACAATACCAACAGTAAAATCACAGCTTAAAGAAAAGACTGATGCAAAAACTGTATTAGACTTTGGATGAAATCTACTTACAGTAGTACTTCAGCACCAAAAAGTGGGCAGTTAGGTTGATAGATGTATACACAATTGAATGATATGTCCAAGTCTTAAAATGACTAGTTATTTATAATGAATTCTATACAAAACAGTTAAAAACGTGTTTTTATATACATTTGAAAAAAAAAAAAAAAAGAAAACTATTGTCTTGATTAGCAGAATGTATTAAAACTGCTTCTCTTATCCCACCTGAACCCAAACCTCTGTGGCTTGTAACTATCACAAAAACCCAATGTATTGCTTCAACGAGCCAAGTCATAAGGCTAATTTCTGAAACCTACCACTGTATTTCAATTTAAGCTTTTAAACTTCCAAAATGGTCACTTTAGAAACAGCATGTAAGAGTAAAATACAGATTTTTAAAAGCCATAGCTCACTTCTAAATTCGGAAGTTCAACTTCAGATGCTGAACCATTTATTCCCCAATTTCGAAAAACTCATTTATACCAAAATATATCCACCTGCATCCCACTTGTATTAGAATTAACACACCTGCCTGTTTAACAGGAACTTTTCAAACAACTTGGCCTCACTTTAAATTTTATTTTTAAATAAATAATCAAGGATTAACTAGAGTAGATGAGCATTTCACGTGCTTATGGCACAAAGAAATGCTTCATAACGCCATTACCCTACTTCTTGTAAAGCATGAAAACAAAAGTCCACTAGCAAACGCACATTGCTACTAGTTAGTGATTTTTGCTTATTTCCAAACATTCACCAACAAGGATTTTAAAAAAATAAACTATATTTTTAGGCTTATTAAAAATCTTAACTCTAAGTGAGCACAAGTGCAAGAAAGCTAACCAATTCCAAAATTCCTGGGGCTTTTCCAGCACTGTCAGAGACACTTTTTCTCTCACATGCTATTTAAAAATACAAATATTTAATAAACATTCTCTTTTTTGATGGTGTTTTGCTCAACAGCTAACAAAAAGACACAGCAAAGTAAAGATCCCTTTTCACTGAAAGCTGCTTTCAGCATCTGGGCAAGGGCTTCGTATGCACGAGCTGTAGAATTCGCTGCAGATTTGCTTTTTAACAGGAGTACATTCCACTGTCACAGGTTTACTCTATCTCGGTAACTATACCTTTTTGGAAACATTTCCCCCCATCCCCCCCGCCCCAAAGATGCAGCTTTTGCAATACTGTCTTGTTAAAACACACTGATGCTTCAAGGGTCCAATGAACAACTCTAATAAGCAAAGTGCTCTAAGACATCACAATACAAGGGCATCTGGGATACTCAAATCCCAAGATGTTTTAAAGTGCACTCCAGTGTCCCAATTCCTTAGGATTGTTCAGCAGAACTCTGAGAGGGGCTGGGCTCAGTGCCGTCCTCAGTGCTACTGTCCACCTCTTGTTCCATTGCTGTCTCCTCATCGTCGAGGCGCTGGCTGGTAAAGTTGTTGAGCTCCAGGAGCCCGCTGGGTTCCACTACCACATTGGAGCTGGAGTGACAAGGGATGGAATATTGAGGGATAGTCTGAAAAAGAGGAAAAAAACCCAAGTTTTAACAAGCACGGTTTTCACAGGTAAAGACGTGTAAGAGCGCTGGTACTCGTGGAAAAGGGGTATTTGGTTTCCAAGAGCAGTTTTCCCTAACTACGGCTCGTTGAACGTTTCGTTATAGTAGCTAAAGCTTCAAAATACCCTTTCACAGGGTTAGGTTGTGAAAGATAAAATTAGAATAACCTTGCTGTTAAAGGACTGATCTTTGAACTCGGATCCTCACTGAAGGTCTGTGACAGACTGCCTGCATAACCAACAGCTAAAGCACTAACACCCTCAACCCATCGTTCCCCAAATAGAGGTAGAGATAATACTTTCTTCAGCCTTATCTTTTTCAGGCTAGGCAGTTCGGCCATAAGGAGTTCTCCCTTTTTTTGCATACAGCACAATGCAAGCTGGCCCTGTTCAGAGATGGAGTAGCACAAAGGCTGAGAAAACACAACAGATCTAAGCTATTTATTTCTGTTTCTACTTTCACAGGTTCTAGAAACTAAATCTGCATGTTTATACAATCAAAATTCTGGGCAGTACTTGGATTTTTGAAACTGCTCATAGCAGGCCACAACGATGAGCGATACAGATTTTCAAAATATACAAGTTTAAAGGAAAACAGAAATCCACCTTTGTCTATCTAGGGAAATGAGGACTAAAAATGAGTATAAAGTGATGATTTCTACAAAAGGAAAGTTAGCTGTGACGAAGACTTTACAAAGTAAACATGAGAAATCTGAAAGCTCCTTATGGAAATACTTTTCCACCAAAATTTTTTTCACCGTAACACAATTATGAAACACAGCAAAACCATTCCAATCTACACTATAATTTGTGTGAACACATACACCACTGACTTGTCTAGACAGATTCATATAACATCGCTATAAGTCCTCACATAATTTAAATACTTTACCAGTTGAAATTCTGACCATATGTTACATCATAAAAGATCACATTCAAGACAACAAAAAATCAATGAAAATATAATCATCAGTTAAGCAATGATTCAAAGCATTTAACTTAAAGGTCCATAGAGTCATTTTAACTCAACAGTGGGAAGACTGTTTATATGTAAAACGTTTTCTGAATCCAGACCTCATTTCTGAACTCTTCCCGTTAGCAAAACTCCTCTACTTCATTCAGTTTTGTACTCTAGGTAATCGTATACTCAATACAACGTTATTAGATATCATAAACAATACTAGATCATAGATCCATAGGAAGTTTTTAAGCATTACAAATAACAGTAGTCTGTGAAATTAGATGAGTTGGGCTTGTTCCCCTAACAGAAAAACAAAGGAAAACACTGAGAACATAGTGAATGACATACTGCTGGCGAAACTTGAGCTCAATTGAACAAGCGCTACACACTTTGTAGCAGTAATCCATTGGCAAGTACAAGAGTACAAGATAAAGAACAAAAAAATGAAGAGAATAAGGGAAAAAAAAATACTTGAACACTGTTCAGTTGCTATCATCATATCAGACAAAGCGAGTTTGCTCTGCTCAATCTCTGCCTTATTTGCTCTGGTCTTCTCTTACCTGGATAACAATTTCTGATGAGCTCTCTTCAGCTTTCTTTTGTGATATATTCTGAATGTGTATAAACTGGTTTGTTGTAGGCATTCCTTGTGCATCGAGTTTCCTCTCTGTTAAAGTAGGACCAACAGCAGGAGGACTTGAACTGGATTCTTTAGATTTCTGTTGCTGGGGGATGGAAGTTGCCGTCATCCCTACTGCAGTCACCCTCGGCACCTGAGTACAAGGTGACGACTCTGCTTCGCTAGCGACTTTACTAGTGGACCTGGCCTTGCTTTGGGGATCCACTATCATACGTTCTATGCTTGCATCAATCTGAGCTTCCATCATAGACATTCTCAAAATGTCTGCTACTGCTGTCTTCACGGATGCCTGCGTGGGAAATAGGCTTGTAACCGGCAACGCCAGTTTGGGCACAGAACTGCCACCTGCTACCTTTGAAACAGAAGGAGGCTGATGCCCCTCAAAAGTTATCTTTGTAACAGTGGATCCGTGCGTTTTAATTGGATGCTGCACCTGAAAATCAAATTTTTGTTGTGCATGTTACAGCTAGATTTTTATTGAAATCTAATCAATATTTCCAAGGACAGTATGGCACAAACAACATACTTGCTATTAGGAAGACAGTTGAAACTCAGTGTTTTAACAAAGGAATTAGCAATGGTATGGTAACAGTTAATTGAAGCCTGGGGAAAGGCAGCTTTTTGGGCTGCTAGACAAGGATTGTAGCAGTATAATACCACAGCAGCCTCGTTTTCCTTTGGGATTTACATCCCCATGTAATGTTTGTTAACCCTCTTGTTTTCATATATATGCCTCAAAGGGCCAGGAAAAAAATTATACTTTTCTGCAGTTAAAACACATGTTTTTTTTTCCTTCCACGTTTCTTACTCTTTAAATTTTCCCCTCCCAAGGAAAATCAAATTACTCCAGCACATAAAAGTCATTTAACTTTGGGGCGATGTAAACTACAAAGGAAGACGTACAATGGAGAGCCTCAGGAGACTGCAGTGTATTCATCTTTATTTCCACAGAAATAAAAAGTGCTACGGGAACGGAAATTAATAATGTGTCATATCTAAAAAAGAAAAGAAAATAATTAGGGACAAATTCCATGCACCAGTGGTGGCAGAAATTCATAAAAACTGTCCAACAAAACACGTTTGTGAGCTCTATGGATTTTTCCCCTATAACACGTGCTTCTCTTGCCTAGTGTCAACCTTCTGATGGGTAATTAATACCAGCGGAATGAGGAGTTCTCTCTTGCCAGGACAAAACACTGCTACAGCGACAGGGTTGGTGTTTTGATTTTTTCCTTGAACAGCGACGTTTATTTTGCATGCTATCAATATTCCGTTACCTGGCTTGCTGGCTGTTTCTCTGAAGAGGCAGGTAGCTGCATTTGACTCTGGGGGGGTTGGGGCTGCACGTAGATTTTTTGTGCCGTTGGTGCCTGTTGCAGTTTGGGCAGCTGCTGCGTGGTTTTTACTGCAAGCACCTGTACTACAGTTTGCTGTGGCTGTGCCACTAAGGTAGGGAGTTGCCTTTCTTTGGCCATCATGTGGTGAGGGGGGTGCTGTGCATCTGGTTTGGTCTGTGCTTGCTCTTGCTGCAGGGGGGTTAGCTTTTGATGCCTTATAGAAAGCTGGGGCATTTGTGGGAGTTTGTGCTGGATTTGATCAGCCTGCAGGTGGATTGTCTGCTTCTGCTTAGTCTGGAAACACTGCAGAGTTTTCACTTGCAGTTGAGTCTGTTCCAGCTGTGGTTGACTCAGTTTTTGCTGTTTCTGTGCCTGCGATTGTGTCAGGGCAGATCTGTAAAACAGGCCAGTCTGAGGATCTAAGGTGTCCATCTCTTCCACTTCTCCTTCCTCAGTTCCAAGCTGTTCACTGTGTTTGGTAAATGCACTGTGACTGCTTAAGGCCTTAATAAGAAGAAGTTACAGATGAGTTAGTAAAGAGAAGCCTAAATTATAAGAATGCATAATCTAAAAATAGTTTGTTTTTTTTTTTCTTTCAGTTGGACTACCTAAGTTATTTTACCATTCATTATAGGCTCCCAACTCATACTTAAAAACAACAAAAAACACCTTTCCACAGTGAATTCACAATACCTAAGCAATCATAGCTACTTTTTCCCTTGTTAAAACGTGGAATGTCCCTATGTGACAACATTAACTGCGTAACTAATTCTCGATGGTGATTATGTAGCCCTTGCACTTATCAGACTAAGGTTCAAAACCCCTCAAGTTCCACAGCAGTTTGATATGAAGCAATAGGGATTAGCAGCTGGGTGAACGGATGGGTCTTTAAGAAAGCCAGAGTCTCTCAACGTGAAAAACTCTTATTCTGTCTCTTGAGAGTCTCCTTACTATCTTCGCCGTTTCTTCTGCAGCTGCCTGTATACCTAGAAACTACCCTATTTCAACCAGATCCTCTCTTCTCTCCTCTTCCTCAAAATCTTACTGCAATTCTTGTTGCGCATAGCACAAGCACTGAGCTTTTGAGGGACCTGAGGGAGCAACAGACCTATGTTACTGTCCTTTGCATGCCATAGCATAAACCTGTTAATAAGTGGTGTTAGCAGAGCGAAGCAGCCCACTCAAACACCAAACAAAATAGGCTCTCTGCTGTAGGTTTATGACCTGCGCTGTCTTAGTCCACAGTTGCAGTTCCTAGACATTACAGCAATGCGGAGTTGAGCTGTGTGCATTCACCTGGGGTAATCTACTACTCCAGAGTGACAAAAACATCAGTTCTTGAATAAAGGAATCAACGTGGCTTCAATAAGATTTCACCGCAAGATGCAGGATTTGCTTTAGTGGTTTGACCTCTTTGGAATCCCCACCACACGTGTCTAAATATAATCTTATTTTTTGATTTAGCAAATAGAGAAGTTTGCCTTTTCACAAACTAAAGCCCACCAACCAAAAAGGCATTGTAAGAGCTCTGTGATACATCATCTGGGTTCTGCTTCATCCCTCTTCCCCTACACTAAGGCCATCATGACCTGAAGAGCCCAGTCCTTCTGTAATACAACACACAGAGAAGCAGTTTGGTTCTGCTGAAGAGATGACATGCAAACAGGAAAAAATAATCCAGGTAGCAATATCTTTGTTATAGCAGCTGCGAATAGCTCTCACTTAACAGTCTCAAGTAATCCATTCAGCTTCTCCCATGTCCCACCACAACAGGCAACATTAAAACGAAGCTACTGATTTGTCCTCACGCTTAGCAGTTCCACTGGTAGCAACCAGTGTCTTTCACAGAGTCTTTCAAATCAAGCTGTGGTCCTATGTAATTCACATAACCTACTGCTGTATAGACTGCTTGGAAAAGAAAGGGTACAACCTGCTGCATGATATGGGTAATTGCGCCTGTGGAAGATGCGGGGATGGATTTCACCACAACGGAAGTCTGCGTTGCTGTCTGCGACTGAGCCACATGCTGCAGCAGAGTCCTCTGGGGCTGGGATGACTGCTGGTGGGGCTGTGACCGATGACTGACTGAAAGTAAAGAGGTGAGTGGCATTTCCCAAAACTAACTGCGGTAAACTCATCCGTTTGCTTTGCACTTAACCTTCAGCTGAAAGCGTATGAGCGAAATAAAGATCTGAATATGAAACAAGTCTTTTACTGTATGCTAGCTTCAACCTTAAAGTGTAGATCTAGTCTGAGATGCCACTTAAAATAGCATCTCGGGGGGCTGGTTTTGTCTCCGATTTCTAAGCAACCATGCTTGGTTTGAATCTCCCACGGCCTCCCTCTCCCAATACACTAACTTTGTAAACAGAATCTACATTCAATTTTCATCCGGGTTCTTCATACATCACCAGCACAACACTGTAGAGCACAAATTATTCTGTAATCTTTGCACTGCTAAAAGCACCTGCACAACTGACTGCAATTAAAAACAGCAAGCCTTGCCCACTGAATATCTACCACTGATACATGGCAGGAAATAATCTTCAGAGCATAGCTTAAATTTGCAAGATTAGTAATTAGAAAATTATTCGGGAATTAAGAAAGCAAGGAAGGTCGATCAGAAATCACAGACAGAAATGGAGACTTTGTCATTTGTCCCAGTTATTTTTTAGCACAAATCCAATACAAGTTATGCAGCTCTGGTTATGGCTCTGCAATTAAACAGTGGATTGGCAGAGAAATGATCTTCAGGTGAGAAAAAAACAAAACCATTCTATATTGCAGTCACTGATAAGCCAAGGAGTCACTGATAAAACAAGACTCTAAATTAGTTTATGCCAGTCCATACCAGTATTCAAATATTTACTTTAATTAACTTCTAAAAAGTCACAAAATACTGATTGACTGAGAAAGTAGTAGTAAAGAAAACTTTATATTCAGTTATCACATAACTGAAGGTTTAAAGTTACTAGAGATCTTGCTGAGAGTTAAAAGGCAGGCTAAATTTTTACTTAATATGAAAATTTTACTGTCCTACTCCAAGAAAGCAGTTGGATTATACCAATACCGGCCTGCATGCTGTGCCAGATCCATCATCATGAATCTCCCCAACAGTTCCTGCAGAATTTAAGACTTCATTTAAAATATAAAGTTTCTAACCTATATGGTTGTGTAGATATTCTTCCGAATGTGAACCAATACAGTGTTGTCTTCCTGAGTCTGCAGACAGACAAAAAACGGTAACACTGAGATGCGTGAACTGCTCCTTTCATCTCACTAGGAAGTTCATGTTGAATCCCAATTCCCATTTAGATTAAAGTGGGCCTAATCCTTCGTTCGAGACGCACGCATGAAATTTCACAACAGGCTATAGCTTGTTTACTACCTTGCTAACAAACTTTCTCGCAGAAAATATAGCTGCTTGGATTACTGATGAATCCTGAGAAGCACACATTAAAACAAAAGGAAACGCTCCATTAAGCGAGCGCTGCCAGGGAAGGCCGGTAAGCTGGTGGAAGGAGAGGGTAAGGGGGGGAAAAACGTAGGAGCAAAATAACCAGGTTTGCACTGTAAAAGAGACTGCTGCTAGCCAATCCACAGCATATTGCGCTTCGCCGGCAGGTTCCTGTAATCACCTCAAGATTCACGAAAAAACACTGTTTTCATATAGTGTAGTGTCTCAAACAGTAGCTCAGAGAAACTTTCAACGTTGTTGCTTGCACGGCTTCTCATCTGCCGAAAAGGATTTAAGTCTACATAGATACTGACTGGACTTTCCCCCCTTGCCAAGGGCCCTGATTTAAATCAATTTTTACAGCATGCCCCAGGGAAAACTATACCTCGAGCTTTGAATACAAGCACAGTCAATGCATCTGATCACGTCAGTGAACATGACTGGCTGCCGTGTTAACTGGAGATCCGTTTAACACTATTTACTGTACTCCCGAATGTGTTTTAAAAGGCATCCAAGAGAGCATGACTCAAACGTTCAAAACTGAAGCCAGATACAGTAAGCGTTATCTGAAAGAGCAACAATAACATCCCCTACCTCCCTGCCCTCCCACACACAGTTACACACAACTTTAAATTTAGACTGTACCAGGAATGGAAGTGAGGGGAGGAGGTGCAGAAGAGGAGAATGAAAAATGGAAATATCAGATTGGACACTTAATACTTAGAAACCCTGAAGTTAGATATGAATTTATACATTTTAATACAATCAAGTTTTATTCCTCTTTTCCCATGCAGATTTTCAACACTTTCGTCTTCATTTTCCAAATTAAGCAGAGAAACCACTAATGCGAACGTAGATGAAGAAATTAAACCAAAAAATATATCGTTCGATCCTTTCACATATGTAGGGGAGGTGGCTCAGGGCTAGTGTCCTGGGGTAGCAGAGAACATCAGAGAGGCATGGTATAATCAGAGATGTGTCCAGTGGAAGGGAGCCAAAGACTGGGGCTACATAGGCACCCAGATGGACAGATGGAAAGTGTCAGATTTAAAAAAAAAAAAAAAAAAATTATGTTTGAGATTCAGCCCTTAAAAACTTCTGTTTGAATAATTCCTTTTCCTATAATGTGCAAATATAGCAGCTCAAAACCTCCTAGCAAATGAAGCAGCTGGCAATTACATTAGAATGCTAAATGCTCACCTGTCCAAAAAGCTGACTTAGTGCTGGTATGCAAAACATTTTGCTAACATGGATTGAACTAATTTAAAGCCTGACTCCACTCAACATACACAACACTAGTATGTAGCTCCTGCAGCTTTTTTTTTTTTTTTTAAAACTTTTTCCCTAAAGGCAACAAGTGGGATCGCCTGCCCTCTCCATCAGATCAGAGGGCAGAAAATCTTTTAAATCTAGTATGTCTTGAAGCACCAACCCTTTGTTTCAGTTAGAAACATTCTCCAATATGCCCCAGAAAAGCAGATGCAATCTCTGTCCCCTGCAGAGGGTCTAGGGAAAAAAATAATTCATTTGCACTAAAAAAAGATTATACAGAAAGATATAAATGAAACCCATCCTGAGAAAACCCCAAAAGAAAGTCCCTAGATTTCAACTGCAAATCCGTCATCCCAAAATATCTTAGTCACTTACCAGTTGTGATATATTCAGCAACTAATTCTGACTCTACCACAGCAATTGAAGGACTTTCTGGAGAATGCCTCTTTTCTTGGGTCATCTGGATTGGGACAGCCATTTGGCTCAAGTCAATGGTAGGCTGTCTTGGCTTTGATTCTAACTTCTCCTTCACTGCTTTAAAAGACAACAAGTACTGGATTTAGTACAATAAACCTCCAATATAAACACAAGATCTTAATTAAATAGTGAACGCTATGTAACAGTTTTAAACAAACTTTTACAGGACAGAAGTACAGAAACAAATTGATTCGAGGTAGGTGGTTTTCAATTACAAATTGTTATTTAAGCAAGTAGCGGCTGACTGCTTTCAAGTAATTCTTAAAGCAACAAAAAAAAATCAAAAAAAGAAAAAAAACACATGCATTAACACACCTGTTGTCTGCTGAAGCTCCAACAGGGCTTTTATTGTGGAAGTAGCTGACTGAGATTCACCGGATACATCCTGGTAAATTATTGTAGGGCTCGTGTCCACAGCAATTTCATGTTCTGACCAATCCTGACTTCGTGAAGCAATCACATGGACTACAGGCTGAGAATCTGTTTGCAAAAGAGTAAGGGCACATCAAATCATCATAGAACCAAGACTTCCAACCCAAAGCGCTTGCACAAAGCAAGACTGGAGTTCAAATTTCAAGCAGGTTACTATTCAGAAATCTACTGGACAAGGCTCTGAGTGTCACAGATGCACACTTTCATTCTGCAGTACTTTATTTTTTATTATAGGTGACTCCTGAAACAAAACACAGCTAACGCTATCAACAGCTTCCAATAAAAAGATTCTATTTCTTAGTTGCTTATAAAAGCTTTTGTTTGAACAACTGAAGTTTGGCAGGTTATTTTGTATGGCGAACCTGTCTTAGACTGAACTTTTTTCAGAAGGTTTCAGTGGTTTAAAGGCATCTAGAATTTTTTTAAGCTTGCTGAATCCTCAAAACTCTTTTCAATTAACTTAAAATGACGGTATATACCAACAGCTACAGAATTATATAGCAAAGGTGACTGAAAGAGAAGGCGCTTTAAATAAGTGGAAAGTGTTTTATAGACAGATATTGGCTTTTGTTTAAAGCAGTGATAGGCCTTAGGGACCCTCCTGACAAGAGGCTGGGTGTTATCTATGCACTGATCCTCCTCTACCACATGATGAGAACTGCATCTGTTACCCATGGCATGAAGCCATGGCGGCACTTCCATCGTGGGTGCAACTCTGCTATTGTCTCCACATGCACATGCGTGTTCCCACAAAAGGGCCAAAATTCATGTCATTCACATGACTGCGGCAGTTTTCAGTCACGCAATGGAAAGATGCTCCAATTGAAAGAGAGTGGCACAGCGCAGGCGGCCAAACAGACTGCAACTCTGCTCATCTCTGAAGGATCCTCTCCACCCTCCCTTTTTCCTCCCCGCAAAAAAGGGAACAGGCTGCAGGCCACACACTAGTCAGATCTCAACAGGAAAAACATTATCTCCACTTTTTACATAGGAAGGTGAAGAATATAGTCTGGTCAAATAAATGAATAAATAAATAATCAGGGAAGTGGACAATGACACTGCTAACAGGTTGGGTAAGAAACTGTGCTAAAAAGAGATGCAGTGAGTCATATGAACACAGCTAGCACGCTTGGGAGACAGTCCAATTACATTTTATTCAACACTAATAATACATACCTTGGGAGCTCTGGGAGGACTCTGTCGAAGATGAGCTGCTATCAGTGTAGGTTTGTGGTTCTTCTTTCACTTCTGGGAGAGAAGAGTTTCCTGTCTCTGCCACTCTTGATGCCTGCTGTAACGTTTCAGTTACCAACTGCCTAGTTTGCTCGCTCACAACTGTTGCTTGAAACGTCACTGGCTTTGGCTTTATAAGAACCTAATCAGAAAGACATATTCTGTGTACAGTAAGAGCACTCAAAAAAACAGAACCGAGCAATCACCGAACGGTGTTCCACTAAAATAGATCAATGTAAAAGACCTACGTAATATCAACATTTTACTAAAAATGTCGTCCTGTAAATTCAGCAGCTCTGGTTATTAAACTACAAAGCCCTAATAAACGGCAGTGCACAAGAACATACTTCTGACTTCAGTAATATGGAGCGCTAAACAGTCGTTCTTCAGGACCGGATACAACTACGCGGCTGACGAGAGAAAGCTACGCAAGTGGCCTGGAACGTGGACCGCACCGATAAGAACAAGCCCATCGTAAATGGAGTCTTAAGCAGTCACCATAGAAAAAAAAAAAAAAATTAACCCCTGATAAAAGTTGAATTCTTTTATATAGAAAGTGCAACCAGAGAAAGTTGAAACAGAGTGTCCAGAAATAAGCCAGATTCTCTGGGTACAGCCCCACCAACTACACAAGGCTGCAGGGACAACCTGAATGAACACACACTGAACAGTACCTAGGTCAAATTCTCAATTTTCAAGGATGATGTACATCTCCAGAGCAGAAGGCTCTGCATTTTTATTTCTCATGATTTAATCTTTAGTTTTAAGACTTAAAGAGGCATCTAGAACCATGCCCAAACAGTTTTAAGTTTTACCTATGTAACAGGCTTAGCATTTCCTTTTGACTTTCTCTAGGCCTCCAGAAATAGCTAATAATGCAAACGCTGTGTTCAAGAAATCGGAATCAAGGCCATCTGATTAAGATCCTAAATCTCATTCTCCACATACACATACTATGGACATTAATCCCTGCAACAGATGTGGCACCACAGTGAAAAATGGTTTACTTCCCATTAAAATTTAGGGGTACATTTCAAGACAGAAATGGGACCTCACTGTACCTGCGTTTTCCCTTGCTGACCATAAACAATTTTAGTTGGGATGATTTTGGTGGCTGGCTGGACCGTGGACCCTATTCCTTTTGGCTGTGTAACAATCATTTTTGTGATGGGTCTTGTGGCAGTGATGATAGCAGGTTTTGCTCCTGCTGGCACTGCCTGAATAGTTTTCTCCCCCTGTAGAGAAGCCAAAGTTTACAGGTTAACTGAGTGAAACACTTCAGAGAGACCCACTTCTCTTAAAAGAAAGAAAACAAAACAAAACAAAAAAAACATAGTTACATGAAATCAACTTGTTGCTGTTAGAACTGGCTGTTTTTAAGATGAAGAACGTTCAAAGACCCAGAAGAAGAAACCCTACTGCTTCAAATGGAAAAGCTATTAAAACTCCCTTTTCCATTATTTGTGGGGGTTTTTTATTCAAAACTTAAGAGCAGTTCAAAAGGTAAGTAAACGACACTGACAACTTTTTGAAGTTGCTTCAAAGAATTCACGTAAGTTTGAACTTCCCCCAAATCCTTTGCAAATGTTTTTCAAAACCTCTTACTTCTATTGACATTAGCTTTGGCAAGGTATTTTTAAAAATTTGAATCAAGTTTAAAAATTACGAAAAGAAATTATTTAAATATAGATCTTTGTATTATCATCACCACTAAGACATTAAGTTTGGGCATTTTTTAAAAAATAAAGGTTAATTTATTGAAAAAATTGCAGATTCACAGCTGTTTCATGGAAAACATCTGATTTTGAAATTCTTCTGACGCATGACTAGATTCTTGATAGCTTAAGAACAGTGATGAAATTGAGCAGGCTTTTTCAGTGCTGCACAGTAATAAACCAGATGAGAAACAACATTAGCTACCAGTACTTTCAGTATGCCTAACAATTCCCATCAAGCAGCCAGAAACTCCAAAAACTATACTTGTTTCAGAAATAGCCATACTTGTTTCAGAAACATCATCACTTTTTTGTGTTTCCTACTTTTTAATATCATGAGATTCCTACTTCTGTGAAAACACCTTTAGGTATTTGTTCTTACTGAAACTAGAAAAAGTTTGAAATCTTCTAAAAACTTCTCCTGGGGTGGGGAAACACACTTCCCTGTTCAGCTCTGCTACCCCAGTAGATTTTAAAGATTACACCTTAAAGCATTATCACATAAATCTCAGTTTTATCTAGGAATGCACAGCAGGTTCATCATTTCGGTAAGTTAGCACTTGAAGGTGACCCCAGCTAAAGTAGGAAACTTGATTGTGTTCTTACTGCACTTCAGGTTATCCAAAAATAATTCACCACTGCATGATACTCAGGAACAGGACATTACAGTGCTATGCCCTATATAAAATAAAAGGCAGTACTCTTACTCGGAACATACCATTTATTTCTGCCCTTTATCTCCAAGAGATACACAGTTGGAGATGCAAGGTTATAACACAGGACCGTGGTTCTCATTACAGCATTAAAATGACTCAAATCTTAGCGCCGTTATTCTACTTAATCACTTCAGGATTACAAGGCCATTAACCAGGGAAAAAGGGCAAACACAAAATTGAAACTTTTTATTTTCCTTTAACTTCAGGAAGAATCCCTGCTCATTTTAAGGGCCTTGCACAGAAGATACTGCAGAACATACTTGCTTCTCAAACATCGCTGACATTAGGGCATGCTATATGGGTTATGTAGCTCATGCACAGTTTGCTTTTAATAGGGACTGAAGCAGAAAGAATGCAGCAGCCACCACATATCCTGTCACTAGGCTTATAGACTTTAGTCTTGAAACTCTTACTTACCCCAGCATTTAACAACGTTGTGACAACATTTTTGCCTGGAAGCCCTTGAATTGTAGTTCCTTTTCCAGTAGTCTTTTGCACAACAATCACATTAGGCTTGGATGTCATTGGAATTGTAGTGATTTTGGTTGTAGTTCCTAAACATTAGTGGGAAAAGAAGTAATGTGCAGTTTACAAAATGTAGATTTCCTTCCACTTTAGACATCGGTTAGCTCATAGGAATCACTGTATTGAATTCTGCCAACACAGCAATGATTAAAGCTAGGCTTTTAAAACAGCATTTAGAATAGGAACATATCTCACCTAACTAGACGTATACAAGTTATATGCTTCCTCCACATATCTTTCATATACAATAAAAAGAGGCAGGCACATGACAGAGTAATTCATTCCATATTAGGACAGGCAGCCCCTTCTCATGAATTACAGAGCAGACAAACGCAATTTTCTCAGGCTAACGTGCCTAACTTTTTGAAGGCTAGAGTTAGAGAAGATAAGTGCAGCACTAGCATTCAACTCTAGGTCATATTTGCATAGACAACAGATAACAGATGTTATCAGTTCACAGAGCACAGATAACATCTGTAGAAGAATCTGTGTACCACGAATACATGTCTCCTCCAGCGAAATATTAATGTTTTCTGGAATTGAGCTGATATAATAGAAAAGGCTGGAAAGATTAAAAAAGCTATTATTTTATAAAGTCAGTTTTTAAAAGTTGAGTTCAGAAATGTTTTTCCTTTTCTTCCTTTCTTTTTCTTTTCTAAAGAAGAACTGTGTTGACTATTTCTCTTCCTCTCCCATTGTTTAATTAGTTCTATTCCCTGTAGCAAGTTTTCATTCACCTGCAGTGACAGGTAATTCTGGACAGTCGTCCACAATCTGCATACATTGCATGTATATTGACATTTAAGTCACTAGTGTTATCAGGCTACTATTTCAATATCCACTCAGACAGCTTTCTACCACACCTTCCACTTTCTCTCTGAAGAAGGTACCACTCAGTCAGCAGAGCTACAAAGCAAGGATTCCACTCGCTGCCTTCAATCCATCAGTGATACCTGCACGTATTTTGCTATATATTTCAGATTAGTAACTCTACTTATTCTGGGAAAGGGAAGGCATTGTGAGATGAGACCATCATGCTCTTATGAATGACTTAAGAAGCAACTAAATGTCTAGTCGCCTCCTCCCTTAGCAGGAAAAAAAAACCCACCCACGTAGACGCTCTTTCCAAACTTGCGTTATCTCAGGACAAGCAGTATAATCCTTATGAAAACTACCTAATAAGGGTTCTTCTGCACAAACTGGTGCTCTGGAGAAAAGCGGTATTTGCACCTGTCTAGAAACTAACCAATATATTTAGAAATTTTCTCAACAATTCTTCATCCATGCACCAGGCTGAAAAAGTTACTCACTCACAAAGAAGCAACTGCTTTAGTCCCAAAGTAAGCTGAGTCTTCATAGAAAGTAAGATCTGAAAAATTCAGGTACCTGAACCAGACTATACTGCAGCATGGATTAACTAAGCAGCCCTTCCACGAGCTCCTGTAGCACCTTCTGGTGAAATGAGCTGGCTGGTGCCATGTTGGGTCTCTGCTCATCACCAACAGTGGGAGCCAAGAGTAATTTAAGGATCTAATGCGATAACCAGAACAGATGCGGCTGTTTATCTGTGCCTAGCTAGGTATTGTACCAGACCCTGTCTCTGTGAGCACCGTTTAAGCCCAAAACTGACACTAAGAAAGTGAAACAGGTGCGAATGTGCCAAGTCCTGGTCTTAAAGAGACCTTATGTTTAGAGACTGTACTGACCGAAAGCATCAAGGCTGGTCAGAAGACTCACGTAAGTTAGAACATGGGGTAAGGGAAAGACAGACTGAAATCAATAAAAGAAGAATGGGATGAGAACGAGACTGCCCAGTTGGACTCAACACGTACCGTTGGTTCTTTGAGCGAGGAGTGAAAAAGGGCAGTATCAAGATGCCAGACTACAATACAGCTGTATGAACTTCCTGTCCTCTAGCACAGGACAATGTAGTAGTTCTGCTCCTCTAGATTTCTCTTTTCTTTCCCAGCTTCCCTCCCATTAAGTGCTTCCTTCTTAAATCTTAGAATTGCTGTAACCCATGAGAACATTCCCCTTCTATACCTTCCACCCATTATTTTCTTTTTCATCCTCAGCTGTTTTTCTTCTGAATTCATTTCTTCTCCCATAAAGGGCCTAATAATTATTTGAGCACGTACCCCACAGAAATGATCTGAACAATTAGAGAAAGTCTAAACTTGCTTTTGAAATAAGTCTTAATATCAAAGTACTCATACGCCTACCTGAAACAATATTACTGCTGATAATCTTGCCTCCCAGCGTAGCCAGTGATTTCGGTACTACCGTAATGATGCTACCACTCGTAGTTTTCACATAAGTAGCGGCCCCTGGAGTTCCAGCCATCCGAGCCCCTAGAGAGGGGCTAACTGTTGGCCGTGTATACGTTGCTTGAGTTCCTGTTTGGAAGAAAAGACAAGAAAGTTTGCTGTTAGAATATGTTATGCTACCTGTTTTTGTGGAAAAGGTTAATTTAGAAAGAAAGCATTAGGTTTCATTCAAAGAGATCCCACGTTGCCATTTATTACCACCCTTTACTCCAGGTAGTTTTTAAATCGGCAGAGCGATATTCAAGTATATGCCAATTTTAATTTAACGTAAGATTTTGGGAGGCATTATATCAAAATGCTCCATGACTACCACATTTTAATTTGTGTCCTTGTGCTAAGGGTTTTACGTTTCAATAGGTGTTTAGACCTATAGACAGGTGTTAAACCCGTACGTTTGCCATTTGCTTTATTAGAGGCACAAGAGTTCATCCGATGACACTACCAGAATTGAACCCTTCCGCTCTTGAAAAAGACCTGCAATCTCACGTTTCCCATGAGACAAACCATTCAGAACACCACAAATGACTGGCTTAAATAGCACTCTAAGAGAAAAACATGATTTATAATGAAAATGCAGTCTTGCAGATTTAGCATTTAGAAGTACAAAACAAGCCTTTTGACAGGGTATAAACGCTCCTTCTGCCTAGCTGCTGCTCCTCAGAATGGAAGCAGGACTGAGTCTACAATAGAAATTTGCTCAAAATAATAACAGGAGTCAACAGCTACGCTAACATGATTCCATTCTGATTATACTGCTGCTGATAATGCACTACAGACCTTAATTGCTAAAGATCACAAAGCAAAACAGTTTGTGTTAACAGGGAAGCCACATGTTCAAATCTAGGAGAAAGCAATTCAGTTTTTAAATCAAACTTATTTTTTTTTTAAATGCACTTAAGAATATTTGTGAGAAGTATTTCAAGAGTTAAAGTTAAAGATACTCAACATTAACCATTAGTTTACACTAATATTCCCAACCCATGCTAAAAGTTCAGCAAGCAAATTTATCCTGGTTTTCAGGAAACTCAGGATTAATCTGCCTTGAAAATCTTCCTCACACAAGTTACAAACTGAACAGTCTATACAACTTCTGATTTTATACAAAAAAGGAAGCACAAACACAATTAGAACCCCAGGAAATCACTGGGCGTTTAAAGTTCCATTTACTAACCTTTTTACAAACTCACTGCAAGACTATGAGCAAGTCACCTGTCTTTTAAATTCCACACATATAACATAGGAATAATGCTGACCTACCTGCTGGAGGTACCTAAAAATTTAATTTAAATCCTCCACTATAAGGTGCTACAGAAGTGCAAAGTATCAGTGCAAGTTGCAAAAAATTTCCTTTTAAACAAACCCATTGGGGAAGGAATGGTGATACTTTTGTGCGTTCAACTCAAGGAGACCACAAGAGGAATAATAAAAAAAAAAAAAAAACACTCAGCGGCAGAAAGTCTAGTCTAGAATGATTATGAACAGGTTTGTGAATGTGCTGTTGTGCTCACTGTTTACAAGAGGCACAAGGGCTTTTTTACCCTAATAAACCATGTTTTAATCTCCTGCATGTTGGGTTTACCCTCCCTTCCCTTCTCAGAACAATAACTTACCAGTGGGAGTAGTGACCAGTTTAGTTGTCATGATAGTCCCATTACTGCTAACCACCATAATAGGTGAATTGCTACTGCTGGGCAAGGTCGCTGTAACTGGTTTGGGAAGGATTTTACTGGGTTGCACCTGTTGAGTGATTATTTTAACACCTAGGAAAGGAGAAAGGTCACTGTTAAAATACAGGCACGAAAAGTTACTTTTTGAAATGTTTTCTCAGACCAAGCCCTAGTAGGCAAGTAGCCTCACAAGGCTTCTATTCTGGGCCCAATGTATTCTTGATCCTGAAAAGAATTTTTTTCTGTTGGGTTGGGGTCTTTTTTTTTTTTTTTTTCCTCTTTCAAATAACAAGACAGCATGTGCCTGTTTCAATTCCTTGCTACTCCCACTGACACATGGGATTCTATTTCATTATTGATTTGTTGCAGTGATTTTTAACCTCTTCTGGTTCGTGACTCAAAAATAGCACACATTTCCCAGGAACCAACAGGTTACAACCAGTATCAAAGTAGTTTAAATATAATGAAGTATCACAAAGTGAGATAAGTTCTTCATCAATTTAGTCTGTAAATTTTAGTATGTTTTAATTAGACTAGTTGAATTTCATTCGTTCAAATAAATAAAAAGTTTTTCCTGCACTATGAGTATTAGAGGCTGTAAAGAAGCAACTGCGACGCCGACTAAGGAAGGCTGCTGTAAGGAAACCTCGTCACTTAACCTACTGGTTGTTTTGAAGCTACAAAGGAATGGAACTGAAACAAGTTCTGGGTAAGGCAGCAAGAACAAAGGATGAAAACACCTTAACACGTCAAGGATTTCTGCTCCCTTTCTCTCAGTTTGTGTAGTGGAATGGGATCTCGCCGAGATTCGCTTTTCAGCTGCAAATCAAGAGATTCATGTAGTCTGTTCAAAAGTATATGCAGGTGACTTGGAACTTAAACTCTGTTCCACACTGAGACAAGTGTACTGTATCGTGTTGATCAAGTTTCATGAAACCACTAGCCTGAATTTACCCCACCTAAATTCAGGCATTTATGCTTGTAGCCAGAAATTTCTAGGTGAGCAATTTTGTCCACCCAAGAAACACCCTCCAGAGATGTTTTCTTCTAAGTCAACTATAAAGTAGCACAGAGCAAGCAAGCTTCAAACTATGTGCCACAATGAACTGTCTGAAGTTAGAGAAGAAAAACTAAGCCCTCTGCATCATCCAGACACAAATCTGGATAAAAAGTAAAGATTTCGTGAGAACTGACTCATCTTTCAGAAAGAATATGTATCAAATGGTATTTCCAAATAAAGTTTAGCTAAAAAGCATGCTGAGCCTAAAGCCATAGCAGAAGGCAAAGACTGAAGTTCTGATCGGTCAGATGGTGTTCAGTGACTGCAGGATGGAGGCCTTTTATTTGTTTTCATTAGTGGACTTTTTTTCCCCAGGCATTGGTCCCACAATCCAAAAATAAGGTAAGGATATTTGTTTTTTTCATTTTATGGTCTATTTTAGTTATTTGACCTAAATATTATAAACGTAAAATAGTAATTTTATTGATCACATGATTAATATAAAATAAGGATATAAAAATACTTTGCACTTTTATAGCACTTCTTTCTTCAGAATTCAGTAACTTTGCAAGCATTACTTCTAATCACATCTCAATGAGATAAGAACTGTCCATTTTACAGAGAGTAAAGCCAAGGTAGAAAGATTACATGACTTGCCCAAAGTCAGCGGAATGAATTATGTCACAAAAAGAACGTAGTCCAACTTCAGTTTCAGTTCTAATTGCATTTGTTGTGACAAGTATCTCAAGAGTAGGTTTCAATTTCTGGACCCAAGAAAAGAACTAAAACACAGATTAACTTTTTTGAGGTGATACAGTTCAACAGCTCTTGCATCTTCAGAAGACTGGTGTCTTCCATGTTGTCAGCCAAGTTACTTTGGAAGATATTTATACATCTTTCAATCTCTAAAGATAAAACATTTCCTCCTAAAAGATGGTCCTGTAATACTTGAACCAAACAAGAAGAGTCACAAGAACAAATCCCTCAGTTAGTGTTGCCTGAAAATGTTAAGTCATGCTTCACTATTTATTTTCCAGTTTAGTGCCAAATCCTGTACTCAACACATTATGCCTTTACGGTAGGTCCCCGTACGCATTTTGGGGTAGAACTCAGCCCTGCTTTCTTGACATGCAGTTAGACCTAACTAGTCAGCAACATCACCCAAGATTAATTCAATCTACCTGATTCCTGTTTGATCTGAATGGTGGGCTTGATGCCAGGCGGCAACTGAGATTGCTGTGGCTGCTGTTGAGCTACAGAAGACTGCAACAGCTGCTGCTGTTGTTGTTGGGCCTGCTGTATTTGGTGCAGTTGCTGTTTTGGGGACTGTTGATGCTGTTTGGGAAACTGTGCTAAAATCTGAGTTGGGTTCCCAACTAAACCTTTTGGGGAAGGTAGTCTGGTAGAGGCAACTTTAATCGCTGATGTAGACACACCTGTGAAAGAGTAAATGGTTTAAGACTGAACAGTGCAAAACAAAAGAAAATTACAATTTTTTAAATGCAATATAGCTTTAAATTGCCTTTGCTACTGAAAGATGCAAACACATATACACAATTAAAAAAAGCTACCACATCTCAAAAGTGCCGTTCAGAGGCAAGGAAGCTCTATACAGATTTTCAGTGTCCTGCAAGAAAGCGTTAAGGAAGCTAATGCAAAGGCCATAATTCCAAGAGGCTATAGTCTACTCCCTCCACCTTTTGTAGTACTAATAACTTCACAAATCCTTTCAAAGCGTGATCTTTAAGCTTCAAGAAAGAAAAGTATTTGTAGTGGAAACCAGGATTGCAAAATAAGCATTAAACTCCTTAACATTAAAAGGGAATATCTGTTAGCGAATGCAGTGTTACTCTAAAAGAACAAATCAGCTAATGGCATTTATTTTAGAAAAATTGAGGAAAGCGTATTCTTTATAGATTAAATGATCTTAACAGTAATAAAGTGATTAAAATAAAGTGGGCAGTAAGATGGAAAACCAAAGTTCCCAAGTAAATACTTATTTCTGCCATTCCTTTACATAGCTGTCACAGCATTTCTCCAGCATAATTTGTCTTTATCTATCATTTAAAATTGTACGTCCATAAAACATTGACTTTATATCTGTCTTTTGGGTGCTTACGTAGGCAGTTTTTCACCAAGTCCTGGCTGGAGTAGAACATGGCAGGGGGGGAAGAAATCTTCCTGCTCTCTTATTTCTCCCTCTACATTTATAGATGGCAGTGATAATGATAACAAACATAATAAGATAATAAGCTATAGATATGGCAATCCAAACAAGTAACCCTTTTCTCATTACATCATCTAAGATGGTTTCTCCATCTCGTTGGTCTTTTCATCCATTAATTTGAATTTAACTTTCCTTATGGGGGGGGAGGGCTGTTATCAGATTATACCATATGACGTTTCACCAGCATCTTCTGCAATGGCACTGATAATTCTTCAACATGGCTACACATATCTCACCTAATACATTTTAGAATTATAGCTGCTAATTTCATGATCAAATCAGACTAAAAATGCACAGTGCAAATAATATGCAATTTTGCTCTTGTGCTCTGTAGTCTAATGACCTACCTCCACGACCTCAGTAACAGAAGCAAGGTGGAATTCAAGCTACCTCTTCAGCTTTGATTTAGCTGCCCAAATTTTTGTGAAATGGAAGCAGGATGGAAAACATGGACCAGGAAGAGTCACTCGGTGATGCTTGTCACTGGCAGACACAGCATATTTCAACGTTTCAAGTGTTTATCGCTGAGGCCCTTTCGTTCATTCACAGCCTCCCCTCAAAAGGGTTAGCTACTTGCTGTGCAGTTGAACTTGTCTGTGCTAGCATACATAGTCGGAATTAGAAGCCAGAAATCTAGGAGTTTTAATCTAGGCCCAATCCAGTCTTAATTTATAAGGAAATGAAAAATGAGATGTTGATAAATAGATTAAAAAGTGCAAGCACTTCTCTACCTTTCAGAGTGGTCATGGAAATTAGTTACCACAAGAAGTATTCTAAGGACCAGACTTGTCAAGCCTAAGTAGCATGTTCTTGGTGTTAATCTCACACGCCTTTGTAAATCATGCATTAAGAGACGCAACCGTCCTCAAAAGATCCTGGAAACATTCATTTTTCACACATCCGATGGACAGAGTTCTTAAAGGCCAGTCAATTCGAGGCTAGAATATTTTAATACTTGCAAGCAAAATCCTCTCAAAATAAAGTTATGCCACACTTCCTCACCAAATTCTCTTCAAAAATATAATTTGTACATGAGAATTGTTGAAGGAAAGAGTTATTTGCTACAAGAACTTTTGTGCAGTACCTTGGATTAGTTTCATCAGATTTTTTTTTCCACGCCTCCTGCCTTCTACTCAGCAAATGAAAACATAAAGCATATCATCTCCTCTATACTATTCTCAAAACAAAGTCTAATTAAACCTGTGAATGAGCTTTTACAATATAATATTACTGCCATACCTTGTGCTACTGTTGACATCACTACTGACGGTGTTGATGATACCACAGCAGTCACCGCAATAGTATTTGCTGTACAGGAAGGAGCGGAACAGCTACTACTGCTGCTGCTACTGACCAGAGAGGACTGAGATGCAGTTATAACCACTGGTTGCTTTTGAGTAGTTGAGGCAATGACTGACGTTGGGACAAGTTTCGTAACTGCTGCATAGTTGTGGGACTTTGAAAGGATGTTGGGTACAAAAGTTGAGCTTGGAGAGGTGGTTACTATTATCACCTGAAAGAAGAAAAAGAACAAAAGATTCATTTGTTCTTTGCACTTATTTAAGAGTATAAAATTTTAGTAATATATCTGCATCTGTGCATTTAGTTTCAGGGGTATCTGTTCATCAAGATCATTTAAGAGTGCCATAATTGCATTTGCTAACAACAAAACGTGTTTCCATTAGTTTGAAGGAAAAACGGTAATCAGATTAAGTAATAAGCTTTTCCTTAAAATTGGGAGGATATTTCTTCTGAGGAAGATATCTGATTAAAGCAGAAATATCTTATATTTGCAAGCAAATACACAGGTATGAACTCTTTGGGTTTATTTAACTAAGTCAAGGCATCCTGAAACCCATCTTAAACGGAACTGTTGGGATTTCAATAAAGTTTTAAACACCATCCTCCCAAACCTTGCACATACATCAAGAAATGGCAATGAGGGAATAAAGAGATGTTTCCTCTTTAACAATTAGAAAGCAGTTGCTAAGTTCATAATGAGAAATACTTTTGATCCACGTGGCTGCAAACAATCAATATTTCATCAGTGAAAACCCTATTTTAAGGTTCAGAAACAAGCACTGCTTTGTTTAATGCTTAATACTCCCAATGACAAGAAATTCTTTCATATCTGCCTGAAAACCATTTGTCTAAAAGTAATAACAACTACCCCTACTGAGAGTTACAATTACAACCCCATGAATCTGAGTCGACATCGAAATACCTAGAATTCATTATCGTCTTGGAAGAGGTCTGCTCTTATGCAACTGACCTAGAAAACTAATCATTTGAGTTTTGAATATGGGGACTGCTTATGTAAGGAGGTTTTTGTTTTTTTTTTTTTTTACAGTTTGCATATGTACCTCCTTGTACTTACAAACATATGCACAGTCAAAATGGAAACATAAAGCAGAGAAATAAAACGCATTTTCAGTTTACCATGCGAGAACCTCATGGAATTGCTTCAATAACATAACTAGTCCAATAAGAAGTTCATTTATTAAAAATCTCAAACTTTAAAACCTATTATTGCATGTAACAAAAGTCAACAGAATAAAGGTTCAGAAGGAGGAAAGAAAACCTGTTAGCTCAAATGAAAAGTCCTGCAATACTACCTAAGGACTACTGAAAGCTTGCCTGATAAAGAAAAGAAATATGATGATAGAATCAGAAACAGACTTAAGTGATAGATCAAGCAGTAAGAGATTTTTAAGACTCTGTGTTTTGTTAAAAATATGAGGTAACTACACGGAAGGAATAAAAGCAGCAAATTGTACCACTATGTTGCCTCTTCCTCTCCTTTTCCTCCCCAACTCTTAGTTTTATGGCCTGCAGTACCTAGGTGAACCTTTAATATCTTGATCTGAGGAAAATCAAAACCTCACCGTCTTCATGAGTTACAGCAGGTGAGTGCCAGAAGCACGAGGTTTGTGTATCGGCTGCTCTACCACTTGGTTGTATTTTCCAAGCAACGTTTTCTCTGTGTCACTCTTGTTTTTACCTTAATCCCAACCCCGATTTAATCTGCCAAAACACTCTTCTGAAGACTGCTATTAGGCTATGACCAAGCAGACACACTGTACACTACACAGCTTGATGCCGGTTCAAATCTTAAAGGCGAAAATACCATTTGATACGCCTCTGGAGTTTTATTTACGTTTTTTTTTAAATTGACAGTTAACACTCGAAATACCTCCCAAGTTTTCCATTCTCTCTTTTCTTTCTACTTCCTTCTCCTTTTTTAATCTTCAGGAAACAGAATTAGAGACTTTACTGGCCAGCTCCCTCCCACCTAAGATTTCTCCCACCTAATTTCGGAATACAGACACTCAAAGGACAAGTTGCAGTTACTAAACACAGACCAGTCACATTAGGCTTCCTATATAACCTTTAGGGAAATAGGGCAAGTTAAGTCTCAGCTAAGATACTAGAGGTACCTAAGATAAATCTGGCCATGAGCACAACTCCTGAACATTGTTATTCTTCGTGTGAAGAGAGAGGTGATACCATGATTCCAAGACGATCAAATGGTTATTTTAAATAACACTTAATGATACAAGGAAAAAAGCTTGCCAAGTATTACGCTTTAACAACAGTTGCTGTCTTGGGACTAAGCAGGCTTGGGTCTCTTTAATCTAGTTCTACTTTCAAAATTAACACAAGAGAACATGAAAGTTACTGATCTTAATGTGAGAAGTATCCAGAAAGCAAAACTTTGATAAAAATTTACAAATACTCAAGTTCAAGTCACGGCATTTATAGTTTTGAAATACTGTTTTCTCATACACATCAAGATGTTCAAAGTAAACCTGTCATGAGCACCAAAACTGCATCCTTCCACCGCAGAGAGACGGATCACAGACACTTGCTGTTTGTCCTTGTTTTTTTGTTGATTTTAATCACTAAGGTAAAAACTAATTCCTAATACACTGGAATTAGTCTTGTCAGCTCTATTTTGAGAGTCATCAAAACTTAGTCCCTAAAGAAATAAACTGGCACTAACTGCCAGAGGCTTCACTAGCTGGATTCCTTCTCTGTCCTAGACAGACGACTACTACAGGGAAAAATCAGAAATTGGAGCTGTGACATTATTAGTTGTTGCTACAAATCCTTCTCCAACCTACTGAAATGTCAAAACAATTCTGAAAGCTGGCGTGCAGAAATCAAGAATATCGTTCACATCCAAGAACCTCATTTAGATCCAACTGCACTTGTTGTTCAAAAATAGTACATTTCCGATTTGAGTCTAACAAGTCTGCCATTTAATTTAAAATTACTAAGAGAGATTTCTCCCAAAATAATGCCCTTACGCATTTTAGCATATCTAAATCCAATGAAAGAGGGTAGCATGACAAGTTCGGATACCAACGCTATTATGGCTCCTTTAATGAAACAAATCATGATTTTCCTATTATTGCAGATTAGCAAGAGAGCCAAATAGAATTACACAAAGCAAAAGCTAAAATTTTCATGTCAGAACGGTCAGAGGCACAAGCGCAGAAAAGACCCTATCAACAACCCATTCTTTTCCTTTTGCAGGTTTAGTACACTTCGCCTTTAACTAGCATGCTATAACACATACTTGGTACAACAATGTCATTTAATGCAAAGGTTTTTCCTGTACAGAAGATGACCCCGCCGAGAGCCACAGGCTGGGTAGGTTAAGCTCTACCCTAGCCGTGTATTTTGTGCATTGAGTGCAAGGCATGTTACTCGATGGGTTTACGCTCACTCACGTATTTCTATACGTGACTTCTAAAGTGAAATTTGAAGGAGCAAGGACACTGTTAAAGAACAGTGAATAGAATGGAAACATTGTTAAAGAGCTTTGGAGTGGGAAAAAGGCCAAAAAGCAAGCTCTTTATTGCATATTACTTCAGTTGAATCTTCTTTGCTTTTTAAGTTTCCAAAAATCAGGACATGGGAACTCTGCTAATCCAAAGAAAGGCTTAAAACAATTAGCAAGACTGATACAATAAATACTGTGTTAAGGCTCAAGAGTCAAACCTTCACGGTTGGGAAAAATGCTTGTTAGTGGCCAGCCTACAATCGGTCTGTCAGTATCAAGGCCAAATTCATTTTTTCCGCAAGTCTGCAATAATCAGCAACTGCCCCAAGAGTGAACTTGGTTCGAAGTGTTAATCTTTTTTAAATCTTAAGGATGAAAAGTAGACACATCCAAAATGCTTCCTGAAACCTGGGAAAATAATCATGCCATAGATCCTGCACAGAAAATCTGAGTTTCAATACAAAAAACCTATATGGAAAACCTTTTCCACACACTGCATTCTAAGGAAACTTGGGAACACTCAGCAGAAATAACGCAATTGATTTTGGGCCCCATAATACTGTTAACGCAGAATGACAAACGGCACATTAGAACTGAAAGGAAAATAAAGCCCCACAGTCTTCGATCAGCTCCAGGAACAAACCCTACAGACCCCAAAAAAGTAGTCTCTAGACAAAAGGAAATGGCATGGGAAAGCCCATGCCAACTCTCTTGGAATCTATCACTTCAAAGAATAATTATAAATAAGGAAAATAGAAATAAGAAAGATTACCTTTGACCAATAGTTGTTACCATCTGAAGGCTGTTCAGAGGCCTATGTGATCCAGTTCTCAGTGGACTAGTGTCCATATCACAAAACCCAACACCACAAATGGTACTAACTGGCAACCTTGTTGGCAGTCTCACCAGAGAGGCCAAGAATTGAATGAGCATGGAGACTGAATCCCCTCTCATCCCTAGAAGTGGTCCCTTCAGGTCAGGGTTGAGGCACATTGGTGGGGCAGTCTGGGGGAAGCTTGCACTCCCGCTGCCTGTGCTGTACCTGTTCTGTGGATAAAAAGAGGGCTTCAGTCTCCACGGCTGTCAATCCAGGTCCTTTCACACACAGGTGAACTAAATTCATACAAGACTTCGGTTTTCTCTTTGTTTGTTTTAAAGAGGGATTATCTTATCCAAAGAGCAATCCTTAAAACACAGCTAGACACTTCATAGAAAGATAGAGTCAAACATCACATCTTATTCATTGATAAAAAAACAAATGAAGTAACATTTGGCAGCTTCCCCCACATACCTTCTGTGTTGTCGTGTTTGTTGTCTGTGTTGAGGGCTTAGTGAAGGTTATTTTCACAGGCGACATGTGTGGTGGTAAGGAGTTGGCAATGCTCTGCATTATATTACTCATCTTCGGGCTGCCACTTACAGGCACTGTGATAGTTTTAGTGACAGGAGTCACTGCTTTCGGGACTTCCTTCAGGAGAACAGGGGAGGAACTAGAAGAATTAGTTCGCCGTCTTTTGCGAGGCTTTTCATCATCATCTGAGCAGCTGACACCTGGAAAAGAAGTACTTTTCTCAATTATATTTTCCCCATCTATGGCTCTCAATGCTTTCTAAAACACCTCACACTTGCTGAGTCTTATACCCATTTTCAAATAAAATAAAAAGAAAGAGAGGCTAAATTACATCTTACGGTCACAACTAACCTATAACAGATCAGAGATGCTCCTAGTCCTTGATACAGACCACACTTATAAAATCAATGGGGGGGGGGGGGGGGGGAAGACAACGGGGGACATTAAAAAGAGGGGGGGGGGGGGGGAGGAAATCAAGCTGGAGTCATTTGGCTACTTCATGCTGTTTAAGAGATTAAAAGAACATAAAAGCCAGTACAGGGGTTTCACTCTGTCTCCAGAAGTTTGATTAATGATACCACATAAACAATGTGGTTTGGACACCACACGTATTTTGGTTTAAAACTCTACAGTTCACTATTGCTTTGCTGGTGGTTTTGTTTACAGCAACTGGAGTACTAGAGTATCCCGCTGCAGTCATCTCCGATTTCAACCTTTGTACCTCCTTTCATGCCATGTTTATGATTACAGTACCCTTCTCCTTTTCACCTCAACATAGCCTCTTAAGACCTATTTATTTCAAAAGGTACGCTAACTAGGAAGGTCAAACCTTACTTTATCAGCTTCCGCCTTATTTATTACATTTTGTGCAACAGACACAAAACGTTGCCTTACACGCAATCACAAAAACCAAGAGAGGCCTGGCCTCAAAGGAGTTTGTTCTTCCCCTCAATCATCTACTGCACAAGCAAAAAACAAATCTGCTGCAATAGATTCAGCGGAGCAACTGGTAACTCTACATACAGCACGATTCATTGGTCTGAAACCAGTATGAAACTTTACAAAGTAGGCAAGAGCCTCATAGAATGGAATACATTACAGAAGGACATTGTTGAATTACCTTGAAAATCTTTTACAGCTATTACAGAGTGTTTATGGCCACCAAATTATCCAAAGGTAAAGTAAAAAAATAAAGACATGCAGAAAAAGTACAATCCACCTTTACATAAAAAGACTGAAGATCCTCCTCCTTATGCCTGTGCCTTGGAGACAAAAAGTTGGTTCTCTACAGAAAAAAAAACCTGTAATGGTAAAACGCAGCCTTGCTGGCAACCAAGCAAACTTGGTTGGCAATAAATCTCTAATTAGGGTCAGGATCCAATTAGGGTCAGTCTCTAATTAGGATAACTAAATAACTTGGCACTGAAAAGTGAAGACACAGGAATTTACATGGACGATAAAGCACCGAGTAGCACAGCAAATGATTTCTGAAAAATGGGACTCCTACTATATAACCAGTTGGTTTGCAGGTACGTTTCAGATCCATGCAAAAGGCTGGCAGTTGTATCTGCATAAAGGCCAGAAAGTGAACTATGAACAGAAGCAAGGGTTATATTTTAAGTCTGCTTTGAGTTCCAAAAAATAGTTTTGGTAGTTCGTAGCAATATGGATTAAGTGTGGATCCAAGAGTGCAGAGATCAAAGTCCGCATCAACAATTCGCTATATGGGCGAGGATCACCGATAGGCTGGTTCAGGATCATGAAGTGGAGAATTGGTTATATGACTTAAAAGTCTATTGTCAACAGGCTCCAAGTGTTATTGTGGGTGTACTAAATTACAAGAGCGAGCTCACTAATCTAAACCAATATGTGCAGAAATTTCAGAATCTCACGACCCGTCAGAATCAAAAGTGCACATGCAGCAAGGATGTTAGGCCACAGCTGTTATTTTGGTGGGTTACCATGAAATGCTGAAGATACTGTTAAAGTTGTTTCTAAGCGGTCCTCTTCCACAAAAAACAGAAGCAACAGATTAACCTAACAGAACATTATTTCATGTAAAGCACATTTCATTTCGTTTCTCATCTTTCAGTGTTAGGGTTCTGTGAGAACGATATTCTGGTAATTTCATGTTAGAAACTGCACTAGTACCAAGTTTTCCACAAGCTTTCGCTGAAAGATAATACTCAAAGCTCAAATGTAATTCACACTTGACAAGCAAGGAAGCAGAGGCATGGAGAGGTTAATGGCTCAATCAGACTGTGACTTAGATGAGGTCACACAACAGATCAGTGGCAAAGTCACGATTATAACCCAGGCCTCCCGAGTTTGCTCTAACCCACATATAACCAGGTTTGTTTAAACTAACATGACTCAAACAACACGTTCTGACATGTGTGTGATTCCTTAAAAAAACAGAACAAGATGAAATGCCTGAAGTGGAGGGGAAAGAAAACCTAAGGATGGATGGAATAAAAATAAGAACTTTTCACCCCTCTATCATGCTTCTAGACCAGTTTTCTACTCATTACCATGTAACAACTCAAGAGAAGTCTAAATTAAATTTTTAAAACATCAAGATTATTCTCTGTTGACTCTTTAAAGCTCAGTGATTAGTGCATTAAATCAGAAAAAAAAAAAATTTTTATTTTAATGGGTTCCATGGCTCAATACAGCCATTAAAGATGATGGTTTGCAGGTAACTATGTTCAATGTGACACGGCTACCTGGAAGTTTATACAAATGTACACATATAGCACAAAGATTAATACAATTAAAAAATGTAGCAGTTAGCCAGAACAAGCTAAAAAATTGCAGATAAAAAGTGTTTCTGGACATTATGCACTGTATTTCCAAGTTTAAATGCCTAGAGAGAGGCATCTAATAGGATTTCATACTTGAAAGGATTTCCATAGGTGCCTAGGTATCCAAGCTTCACTACAATCCGCTTCCAAACAAATCACTGAACGGCCAAACATGGTTAATTACGTAATTTACTTAAACACTTAGTATAGAAACTCCTGTATTCTCTTAAGCTTGTATTACTTCAGTACAGTATGCAAAGAGACAAATCCTTGACTAACGCAAGGTTGGTTTAGATCAACAAGGAACCACCACAAACATCTGAATCTCTCTCCCTCATTGAAATAAGGGCATATACTTGCCAAATTATTGTATTCCAGAAAGGTTTAGGTCATTTGAGAATGTGGGAAGGAGGGACCTTTTCTAACTCAAGTGATAAGTGATAATCATGCATTATTTAAGCAGCAGAAGGAAGCGGGAAGTCCTTTGCAGAAGTAACAAGCAGGACCACCTTGAAAACAAATTCTAAGAAAACTGGGTTAGAAATCCACTGGTGTACAGCAATTCCTATATTATAAATTCATAATACTTTTCACTCTTGCAGTCCTTGCCATTAAGCCTCCCTGTAGCATTTTACACTCAGTGGATTCATCCTGAATACAATTGCTCTGAAAAGGTAAGTAGTATAACCACTCTATAGACCAAGCTAAGGCATAAGGGTTTTAAATGACTTGCCCAAGGTCCATCAGAGTATCTAACTCAAGAGTCCATGCTTCAGCCACAAGACTGGCCTTTTCTTTCCCTTTGGTTAATCAGTTACTAGTATCACTTACTTTTGACGTAAACAGTACTTCCACTTGGCAAGACGACTACATTGGAGGCTGGACTGGCAGGTCTGGGGGACTTCACTGTTGCTACACTGCCACTTGGAACAGGGGTAGATGTTGGGGTTGAAGTGGTACTTGTGTAGGAATAGCAAACCACCACTGAAGAGGAGAAAAGACACCTTCCATATAACTGAAGTGCAGAATCCCATTATTCTATCACTATTTTAACATTTGAAAAGGACGCCAAAGACTTCTTGGGTCATTATCCACATCTGCGCCTCTGCAATCCTGTTACTATTGAGTACTCCCCCAGCTTGACCTAAGCATGACCATGGAATTAACTACCTTCAAAGACAACGTAGAAGTCTATTTCCCCTTCTCCAGTTCCCAGAAATTTTTGTTGACAGTTCTAGTTTTTGGCTTATATTAATCATGTTTTACATTACAGCTTGTTAATTTATTAATTTGAGGGTTTTTTCACTGTTATTGTATTTCTGTAAAGGACCTACAATGCTTGTCTAGATTTGTAACTGATAGAAAATAGTGCCTCTCCTCAGTGGTAAGTCAACTGAGGAAATAAAAGATTTTTTACGTAATACAACCAACCATTCATACTTCCGTTAATCAGCCTTTTTTAACAGTTGTTTATACATAATAGTATGATGATACAATATTCCTCATAAAACCAGAAAAAACAACCTATTTCAAGAAGTGTTACACACTCTCTAGCTGCACGGGACATAGTTCAAGCCTATTCAGCCAAGTTAGATGGCATGTGTAGTAACATTACTTAGAAGGCGTGGGGAAGGTGGAAAGTTATTTTTCAATTTGTTAGCTTGATATATTTATTTGAAGTAAAAAAAAAAAAAGAAAAAAGAAACGAAAAAAGAAAAAACAACAAAATTTTCTTGAATATCACCAAAACTTAGAAGGACCCATACTGACTTTATTAAAATAAAATGTCCCGAAACATTTTTTTTTTTTTTAACCACTTACAGAACTACACAAAATATTAGACCAACAATCTAAGTTTTTGGAGTTTGCAGAGCTTAACAAACTAATCAGTGATTTTTATTCCAGTTGCTAGCACGCCCACCACTAACATAATGCTGTGAAATTTATGCTGCAGATGCTGCAAAAGCACCTTAAAAAGAAAGAAATTTCTTATTTCTATGAATATTGTACAAGAAGAATCAGACTTTTAAAAAAATATCTAACGCTTCAAATCTTAGATAACACTGTATAATGTGACATCATTTTTGTATTTCCATACTTTTTTAGCAGAATGCCAGCATGCCTCACCTTCTTTGTTTCCGGTTTCTGCAGGAACTGGAAGAGATGCATTGTGCTGAACAGCTGCATTGGCAACGGCATTAGCTGTAACAGTAAAAGCTGTTTGCGGAACGAGCCGTGGCATCAGTGGCACCAGTCGACGACCTTCTATAGACCATTCTGAAGAGCTATTTGGTCCAGACATACTAGACAGAAATGCACATTCTTTTAAGTATTCTGTTGACTTTCCAAAATACTCAATATTTTGTATTTAGTGCCTTTTTTCCAATAGCAAAATTCTACAAGGCCGTTTCTAAAGATATACTAGAGCAATAATCTCTAGCCTTCTTCATTTCATAAAAATCCTTTTTTCTACCCAATGCTGAAATCCTCCCAAAGCAAGTGTGAGTTGTTTTTTTCCTCTTAACATTGTCTTTTAGAGAACCCTTAAAGGATCAGAGGTCTGTGGATGACAGGTTCAAAACCTCCCTATCAGATTATCTAATACTCACGTACACTTGGTACACTGTAGATGTCTGGGTGAAAAAAATAGTTAGATAGCCAAAAAATTTCATAAAACACTACCAACACTAATCATGCTGTAGCAGGAAGAACAAGTGATTTTAATGTAAATCTTGCTTTACTGAAGCAGAAAATAACAGAACATAGATACACACTGCACTACTACTTCAATAGAAAGCAGTCTGCTACTTCGATTTTCTCTTAGTCTTAGTACTCGAAGATAAACTAGACACTTCAGTAAAAAGCTATCCTTATCTAGAGTAACGCTTCTTACGATGGTTTTATACTACTGATTTGTCAAATAAACAAAATAAGAACTGCATATTATTTTTCAGTGCTGTTATGTTCTTAAGCAAACCAAGCCATTTAATATTAATTAACATATCCTAAAAATAACAACTTCTCACTCCAATTATTGCAAGCAAGTTGCAGCAAAAGCTCCTACAACCTTGTTCGTAAAATGCAGAGGATCTGCTTTGCTGTTAAATCCAGATACGCTTCAGCACTCCTCATACATATTCATATAGAATAAGCAGAGCAGCAGCATCTTAAGTAAAAACATATATTTTTAATCAAAAATAAGAGAAAAAATGTTGCACCTAGCAAAGCTGGCAAAGTCTGACTTCCTAATAAACTAGAGAATTATTTAAGTCAAATACTATGCTTACCAACTACCACTTAGGAAGAATTTACAACAGAAAAAAATAAAGAGATGGAGCACTCTGTAATTGCACCTTCTCTGGATATATATCTCATCTGTTTGAAGTTCTATAGCTCAGGATAAACTTTATGCTGCTTCTATAAAACAGAACTAGTACTTAAAAAAGGAAAAAAAAAATCAAGAAAAAAATTCTGATTTTGATAATTAAATCAGTATTTTTCATTATTCACTTCTATTCTTTAATGAAGTGTAAAGAAGCCAGTGTTTTCTGTCTGAGAAATAGCGTATTTCTAAATCTTTAAATCTGAATATTAAAATGTCAAACGTCACCCTGCAGCACAAAAACAGTATGATGATTTTGGCAAGTCTCAGTTCAGACTACTACTAATTTAAAGTGGCCTGTTACTTGCATGATTTCGTTTCTTCTCCCCACAGCATTTAGGTCAAAGAGTTAAATTTAAAAATCAGTGGTTATAATATACAAAAAGAAACAAAAATACACTTTTACAGTTCAGATGTGTTTAAAGACACTTCTTAGTAGTAAGGCTATTAAGCATCTATCAGATATCTGCAAACACTTGTCCTCTCTCACGCCTCTCCACTCCACGAAATCACGTGGAATTTGGGAGAGCAAATGCAAGAAGAAGCCATCCCAACTGATGCCAGCACAGCAGCTGTATCGAGCAGTTCAAGCCGAGAACAGCGGACACTGATGTCATCAGATAGCTTTCTGCCGCTTTTCACTCTGACCGTTTTTTTTCCTTTGCGTTTATATACTGTTTTCCACTAATCTCTCCCATTTCTTCCCCTCACTTTGTCTTTCTATGTAGTTAACTCCTTCGTAACATAACCACATCAAATGGATTTGCACAAAACTGAACTAGAAAACAGAACGTGAAATTCGTACACAAGAGTTTGTTCATCCTGCTTATGTTTTCTCTCTTTTCTTTACCCTTTGTTTCTTCTCATCTATTATACTGAAAGCTCTTCATGACAAAGATCGTTTCCAAATTGTGCTTGCACAGTGAACGGGATACCTGTAGATCCAAAACGTGAACCTACTAAACAATTCCTTCCAGTATCCTGATGCAAAACTGATACTCTTAGTTAGGTCTATATACTGGTTTGAACTACTATTCTTTAAACAATCATCAATCTTCAGAGTTCTATCGTTCATGTTAAGGAATAATGGATTTTCCAAAGGCTTTGGAAATCACATAGAAAATGAACTATAACTTACTTGTGTGCAATAGTCGTTAGTCGTTCATCATTTACTGCTCTCCGAACTTCAGCACGATGTCGCTCTGTTGAAATACTATTGGGGGGAGGGAGGGGAAGATACCAATATATTTTAGTCAGAGGGACACATGAACATTTATCTAAAACTTCTAGCTAAAATGAAACTTATGAATAATCCACTCAGAAGACCAAAGGGAATAGGCATCTACATTTAAGAGACTGCCACTTAATTTTTGCTATTACAGCATGAAAAAACATATTATTGTTCAAACTACTTCTTAAGAATAAAGAGAACATTATAGCTTGCAGGTTAGCACAGCAAAACCTCTAGAATCCAATCTCCTAATGAGAGCAATGAATTTAAAGCATGTGGTAGAAAAATCTGCACGGAACATGCAGCTTTCCTCATTAATATAGCTTGGATCCAAAGACCTTGAAATCCCACCTTTATGAAATTCCAAGCTAGCATGCACTCATGAGCTAGCTGTAGTATTTCCAAGACATAACATCTCAACGGGAAAAAAAAAAAAAAAAAAACCCAAACCAGTAAATCTTCAACCACAGAAGCACGGTTCCTTCCCTTATTCAAAACCCAAGCTGAATAGGAATCAAATCTCCACGAGATGGAGAATTACTTCTCTAACTTACAATTTGCTTTCTGGTGACAATGATTAAAAAAAAAAATAGCATGAAATACCTTAGAAGAAAACAGTTCTTCGTGTCACTGAATGCACGGCACTTATCACTTATTTTAAGAAATGTTATGATTACCTAAGCACTTTAGAGAGTTCTCCAAGAAGATCCTTCTTCTCCTTCGTAAGGTCTCCCTGCGCACGTAAGGCACTGATGACACCTGCATATGCCTCCAGTTCTAAAGAATTGGAGTAAAACGCATTTTTATTCAATGTTCACAGCAAAGGAAAAACGTTATTTTCAGTATTAATGACAGTACTCTATTAATTTTCAAAGTCGTGAAAAGGAACACGTCTTTCAATTATTTAGTGCTTTTCAAAAAGAGATTGATGATTTAGAACTCTCTCAGTCAATTACTCTTCAGCGTACAGCTTTTCTATGAAACACAATTGTCTCATCACAAAGGATTATCTGGAAAGGAGTTTATAAACCCAATGGAATTCAAGCTCTCTCTGAACTGACAGTTCAGCCGGAAAGCTTGAAGAAACAGTCCTCAAATTTGTACAGCAGCTTAGAATTCTCTAGAAGCAGGAGAAGAAAATCTTTAACATGTACCATTATTAAAAGTTCCACGGAAAAACTTGCCTTGAGAGAGAGAGAGGCTCGATCAGAAGAGCAACTGATTTATTCCTAATGCTGCTCCTTAATTAGGATGTAGGATATCAGTTCTAGTTTGTTAAATATGATAATTATCTTTTGTGCCCATTTACTTGATATGGGCAACTGCTTCAATCAGAAAAATGCAACACAGCGACTTGAACCTGCCCAATGCATCAAAAACCACAGTTCAGCTACTCTTAAACGTACAGACACATCACAGAGATTAACACACAAAAACGTTATCTCTGAGTTACGATAAAATCATAATTCCACGTGATCCACGTAAACGCTATTTCATTAGTTTTAAAAAAATAAAATAGCTAAACAAATACATCTAATACACATAATTTTGAAGACTGACAGTTTGCCAAAGAATGACCTGCTGCTAAGCACACAATAACCTTTATGCTTAGCAGTGTTTTGAAAAGTGTTATTAAAAGGCATGCTTTCACACTAGCAATATCAATTTTGATACTTATGTAGGTGCCTTTCATTCAGCATCCCATTTCGGTGACCAAACAAACCAGTCCCACAGCAGATCTCAGTTAATCAAAAATAAGAATAAAAAGGGGCCAGCCCACACCTAACAAAAGCCCAAGAATATGTCTGAAATTTGCTGCAAAATAAAGAAGATTGATGCTATTCTGGAAGGCATGCAGAGCAGGATTCCAAAGAGCTAATTTACAAATCAAATCAAGGAATTGTACTGAAAAGACATCCTGCGAGATCTCCTGTCCTGATTAAGCAGACAAAATACAAAGCAGAGTCACTTTGGTTAACTATACAGTCTGCGCAGGGATGCCGAGTGACCTACAGAAGCATTTACAGCTTTGGTTACAAAACATTTGCTAATTAATGCAATGGTTATTACTAATGTCAACATTTATTTAGACAACCATGCCACAATATTTAAGATGCTAATTATTTTTCCTCTCTTAATAACATAAAGTAATTCCAGATACAACCATGTAATTATTTAGCAAGGATAGGTCTTTTGGGGCTTTTTCTCTCTGCATTTTTAATAGAGTTTCTCTACACTAAGACTTTAAAATGCTGGCTTTTTAGAAGTCGGTAAAGATTACAGAACAGGTCTAACTAGCTCCGTCACCCTTACGGCGATATAGGAAACACTACCTGGTGTGCTCTGTTCAACATGAAACATGTCAACAGCCAAAAAAGCTCCAAAAATCACATTTATCAAGCAGAGATCATTATTTCAAATGTAAGGCTGCCACCCTTATCCCCTTATTCAGTTATAAACCCCAAACACTGCAGAACAACGCTAGCTATTACGACACCTCAGGATACATTTCAGCCTCACTTGCACCACCGCTTTCGTTTGTTGTGGAGTACCCTGGTACTGCAAAACTGTCAACCAAATAAGATGTTGGATTGAGAGCTGGAAAAGTGAGACCTTATATGCAGCTCTACTGATCGCTTTTATGACTGTTCACTCCGTCTGTGCTCCTCTCCCCTCCAGCCTTCTGAATTGTCTGTTTAAACCAAGAGCTTCTCTACCCTAGAGGACACGGCTGCTACAGCTCTGATCTTGTTAAGAGTGGCAGGGCCCCCTTGTGGGGATACAGCTCATGCCAGCAAAGAAAGATTTTTTTCCCTGTCAGCCTAGGTTATGTCATTGCAGGAGGTGTAGCTGCAGTTCTGTTTGGCTCAGCCGCACCAGCAGGGCTCTGCCAGCGCACCACCGTCAGCTGGGGTGGAAGTTTTTTTCCACGCTCCTAGCCAACAGAGCTACGTTAACAGAAATTTGTAGCACCAATCCGGTCCAAATTTTTTGGCATCACGCACACACTCCCTTCTCCTGGTTTTCATACTTCTTGAGCCTCGCTTAAGACCTGTCACTGTAATGGTTGTACAGCTTAGTTCTAACATAGCATGCAAAATCAGAGTCACTATCTGCTTTAAAATAATGCAAATTCCAGATTCCCAGGAAATGAAATAAAAAGGGTGAAGTGAGGAAAAAAAAAATTCTCATCTCAGAAAACAGAGGACCTTGGTAGTGTCAAGCAGCACAGCACGCAATCTTAACAGTCAGGTAAAACGAGACTGAGAAAAGCTAAGTGACTTCATTGTCTCAGAAGTCAGTGGCAGCCTCAACTTATCTTTTGACATCATCTGCTAGATTGTGCTCCTCAGCAGAAAGTCCGAAAAGAAATCTGTTTTTTCTTTCTAATGCTAAGCATCACTTCACCGGCAAAAACCCTTAACTAAAGAGCTTGACTTTTTTGTATTTAAGAACATGAAAACCACTACATTAACCCAGACCAATGGTCTGTCTAGCAAAGGATTCTGCCTCCAGAAGTAGCCAAAAGTTGGTGCGTACAAACAGAGCAAATATTTTCATTAGTTTCCAAAACAAGAAGTGTCTTCTTGTATACACGTATTCACGTAAACAGAGCACCAAAATTCTCCCGATAGAGAAGCATTTGCTTTTGGGCAAGGCACTCAGATACTGAACTACATTTCAACACAACAAGCTCCTGTTATTGTGACAGTTAGGCAACATCATTGTTTTCACACTTCCTTGACAGTCTGTGTAACTGCAGACTGCAAATGACACACTATCACGCAATTTTTTTCTTAGGTTTCATGTCTTTAGGACAATACCTTCACTACTTGAAGTCAGTCCCACAGAGTCGATCAAACCTGGGCTACACGATTTTTTTGGTACAGAAAAGGTGTCTAACACAGAATTAACAAACAAATGAAGAACTTCCTCTCAAATAGGTAGGATCTTGTTGAGCGTAGTCACAAAAGGAACAACAGGACTGCAACACAGCAATATCAAGGCAGAGATGGACAGGGATATCCACCAATGATTCTATGCAACCAAAACAATTCTGCTCCATTCATTTTGCTCAGGCAGAGCATCTGCCAAATATCATTTTAAGCCTGGGCTGTCAAACCAATGACACATGCAAAATACAGGAAATGACTTGTAAGTTGCCCATAGACATATTAAAGTATTTCTTGGAAGCAGCAGGCAGTCAAATCTTAAAAGGGCAAACATACAGACCCACAAATTGTATCTTACTGTACCCAGTTTGCGAAGGATCCTCTTGCATTCATCCCTACTGAGATCCAGAAGCGTCGGCCACACGACAGGCATCTTTCCCCCGCGTTTGTGCTCCCACAGAGCTCACCCTCGCTGAAAAGGAATATAAACGCAGTAAGTGCCAGTCCGTCATTTATTGATTTGCCAAGCTGATTAATGCAAACTCTCTCTGGCCTGCTCACAACTCCAGCAGCATATTCACTTCCAACCCTGCTCCAACCTTTGTAATGGCATGCTTTACCATGCAGGAATTCAGCAGTTTCCCAAGGCCACACACTCCCCATGCTCTTTTCCGCAGATCCATCACCCAAGCCTTTCTACTGAGAGTTTCCTATCTCCTTCCCAAGCCTTTTCTCATGCTGAAACGCTCTCCGAATTGATGTTCAAGTCTCCTCCCTCTCTTTATGCACAGAGCACCTATTATAAGAACTCTTCCAGCTAACCGCACGCCCCCCTTCCCCCCGGGGAATGCATTTAGCACCAGCCTATTATATGACAGAATAGCAAAAACACCGTGGAAAAAAAAAAATCGCTTTCCAACGTACGTCCCCTCCCCCCCCCCTCCGGAAAAAAAACACAAACAGGGGAACACCCCCCCTG